TGTTTTGAGAACCTTTTAACAAAAATTGATATTTTCATAATGAGGGTTTAGCAAGAAGATAAAACGGCACATTGTTTATTTTTACTAGAAAAGTGTTAAAAATGCAAGTTATCATTTACATTATTTTAAAGCAAATAACAAACCAAAACGTAAACAGATGGAAATAAATAAACTACTTGCAAAAAAAAAAACCTTCAAATTTATCAGTTCTATTTTCATTTATATCCTGGCAGAGATAATACCTGTACGATGTTGTCAAGTTGCTAACACTAACGACAATCTGGGAATTTCCCCACGGTACCAAAAAAAGTTCCCACGCTCAAGTAAAATTTCAGATCAAAGGTACCGACAATCTAGTAATTTTCCCACGGTACTAAAAAAGTTCCCACGCTCAAATAAAATATCAGATCAAAGGTGACGACAATCTGGGAATTTTCCCACGGTACCAAAAAAGTTCCCACGCTCAAGTAAAATTTCAGATCAAAGGTACCGACAATCTAGTAATTTTCCCACGGTACCAAAAAAGTTCCCACGCTCAAATAAAATTTCAGATCAAAAGTGACGACAATCTGAGAATTTTCCCACGGTACCAAAAAAGTTCCCACGCTCAAATAAAATTTCAGATCAAAGGTGACGACAATCTGAGAATTTTCCCACGGTACCAAAAAAGTTCCTACGCTCAAATAAAATTTCAGATCAAAGGTGACGACAATCTGGGAATTTTCCCACGGTATCAAAAAATTTCCTAGGCTCAAGTGCCACCATACCTACTACCATTTAGCATCTATACAGAGTACCAATTTCTTAAAATATGCGTTTGAAACAAAAGAAAAACAATTTAAATTGGAGTTAAAAGTTATCCTTTCGAAGACGAATATTATTCGGTTTGCTTGCATTCAAAAGCAGAAAATGTTCTAAATTTGTACCAAGTGTTTCCTTGTTCCTTTTTTTTTTATTGAAAGATCGACAGAAACTTTTCAAATCGAGGTAATATTGTAACGATATTTTCCAAAATTTTTAATTTACATATTTTTTATCATATTAAGGGTGTTTTTTTTAGAGGTTTGTTTTTATATCTAGTAACACTGTTCCTAGTGACAGTAAATTTGACAGGTGACAGCTCATTTCCGTTCATTATATCTTGCCATTTCATTATGAAAAGACTTACGCCAGAGCAATGCTTGCAAATTGTACAAATTTACTTCGAAAATCGTGATTCATTTCGCGAAACTTCCGCTATGTACGTTACGTCCATTTTACGGTCGACATACCTAATCGTCCATCCCAGCAAGTTATTCGGACAACCATGAATCGTTTTTGCACTACGCATACTCTGATTGATAATCCAGAAAAACTCCTTGCTTGGTGTGCTTGTTGGGTTAGTGGAATCATTGGCCCATATTTCTTTAAAAATGATGTCAGCCAGAAAGCGACAGTCAATGGAGAGCGGTATCGATTCTTGATTACTGACTTTCTTGTTCCCCAGTTGAATGGCGTTAGTGTGGAAGAGTTCTGATTCCAACAAGATGGCGCAATATGCCACACAGCGCGTGACACAATCAACTTATTTCAGGAAACATTCGATGACCGTATAATTTCGCGCAATGAACTTGTGAATTGGCCTCCACGGTGGTGTGATCTCACACCTATGGATTCAATTCTGTGGAGATATGTGAAGTCGTTAGTCTACGGTAATAAACAATCAACGTTGAATCGGCTGGAAGCCAACATTTGCCGTGTTATTGCCGATTAACGTTCCCAGATATTCGAAAAAGTGGTCCAAAATTGGACTCCCAGACTGAGCTTGGTTCGAGCCAGTCGCGGCCCTCATATGCCCCAAATAATTTTTAAGCACTAATGGCATGAAATTAACTTTCTATTAAAGTCAATATCAGGGCCGTTTACATGATTCTTATGAGTTTTATTCCAGTTCAAAGTTCTATCAGTGGCGTGTCCAGACTTGAACAGAGCGGGAAGCTGTGGGAAAAGATGGTGAAAGTACAAGGCAGGAGAGACTTATAACTTCAGAACTAGTCAGCCATTCACAAATTTCATATATTTCTTTTTGAAAATGTCTACATAAAGTTTAGTTTAGTGTTCTTAATAAATCCTCGAGGGGAAGCTGTGCTTCCCTAGCTTCCATAGTAAACACGCCACTGAGTTCTATACCTCTAAAAAAAAACACCCTTTACTATCCAACGTATTAAATGTGTTAAAGCTCACGTTTAACAATAAAACAACCTGAATTAGAGCTTAAAGTAATACAAATCATTCCGAGACATATTTTTAGTTAAATTAGCATCTAAAACCAGAAAATAGAATAAATGTGTTCAAAATGTGTTTCTTTGCACCATTCTCTAGTTAAATATTAGCCAAGACTGTCATTCGGTGAAAGATTGTATTGAGGACCTTCTCTGCATATTAGACTCGTGAAACAAACAGGTCTCTCTCTAGTTTACGAAACCATTGAAAGTGGAGGATTTTTTTTAAATAGTTTATTTAATAATCATATATTTGGGGTGATTTCCAGTCTAGATTTGACCGTTAATACGAGTGCACGTTGAAATGAGTTTTATTTTTGCACGGTACTATACATTTATTTGCGATGAATGTGATAATACATGTTTTATCAAACAAAACGGCTTTAAGCGAAATGTGGCATCATATAAGTGCAATGAATGTAGAAAAGGTAGCCAAGAAAAGGTATTAAAAAATCCATGCAATCAGAAAAAAAATAATGAAGACAAGTTACTTAAATACGCAGCCAATAAGCAATCAATCTTTTATGTCAGCCGTAAAGAAAATATCCCTGATTTCTGCAAGTAGCTGCAATAAACTCAACTATAAGTGAATTTAGAGAAAGCATTGAAGAATCGGATGAGGATGTTGGGAATGCAATTTGTTTATTTTACAAAAAAAAAAAAACTCCAAGATCAATACATAAGTTTTCATCTGATGAATTATAATTTACGCCGTTGTGCTATCTTATTCACAACATCGAGTTTGAACAGGTTCGGACATTATTGTTATGAAGATATCGAAAATGTCAAAATGCCATGTCAAAAATCCTGAACAATAATCTTGTTAAAAATAAATACTAATAATTTTTTTTGTTGAGGAAGAAGTTTCACTTCAATCATGCGTCACTTCACGCATAATTTTGTGTTCTTTAAATTTTATGTATCACTTAGATTGAATTGAAAAAAATAAAAATATTTAAATATGTGCCTATCTACTGTTTTTTATTTACAAACCAATAATTCAATAGACATACATTTTCTTTTGCACAACTAAGGTAATTGAGTGAGTGCATATTACAATGAAAATTGGGAATATTATTTTTCAATTTTTTGAAATTTGGGCATCCTACTATTTGATAAATCTTCCATGAACCTCGATTTTTTCACATCAATCATTGTCTATTACCCAATAATTCTGATATACTTTTGCCTTGAAACACGTTTCGTTAAGACATTGGGCCACATCAAAATTTTCTTAATTTACTGCAGGTAGAGTATGTCAAGTCACTAAAATATGTTTTAAGTCGCATTTCATTATCAACTTCACTAGTGGTAAAGTATGTTAAGTCACTAAAACGAATTAGTACTGGCAATTTTTCTCAATGAAATACTAATTCTTATTATGTCACTAAGACATAATTCCATAAGCGAAATACTAGATCACTAAATTATAGGGTTTCGAAGAGATAACTAATTTAAAGTCTGTTTTTTTTTTTTAGATAAAAGTCACAATGACATTATGTTGGTAATACAATGTAAAATTGTCAATGCTTTAGAATTTTTATGTAGAAAAGGCTTGTGTTGCCAACATAGTTACTAAATTTTTGACTTGGGGTATTATCTTAAAAAAAAAACAGTCTTTACGTGATTTACAATTATTTTTTTGGTTCTCCTGAAAAATTATAGTATTATGACTTGATATACTTTACCTCTGAGGTACAGATATAGGTTTTACCAGTATAGGATTGAAATAATGAATTTATTTTACTACTAACTGGTACATTAATCTCAGTAATCACTAAATTGGGAAAAGAAGCTTTAAGAAAATAATTATTTCGATTTTTAATTAAATTTCAGTTAGAATGTTGGTATAATTCCATCACTAGAATCATCAGTGGTATTTAAAGCAGGTTTGGAGTTTATTGATTAAGAATGTGGTGGTAGTCTATTCATAGTAGTGATGAGGTAGTTGATTTCTGAGGTGGGGTCGTTCGCTCTCCAAAAAGCGCTTTAAAACCATTTATATCATCATCACCTAATTCACAAAAATCCGATTGGTACCATGGATACATGGGTGCATAGTTATGGGGTGGTATGAATAAAAACGAAGTACTTGCTACTACTACAAGTATTAGCATGTTCTACGTAGTATTTACTCCAAAACGAAGTAGATACTACATTTCGACACTACCGGAAATAAGTAAATGCTTCTTTGTGAAGTAAATACTTCGAAGAATATACTAATACTTGTAGTAGTAGCATGTACTTCGTTTTTATTCATACCACCCATTGTCTATGACTGAATCCCACGCACTATTATAATACTTTGGGTATTTTTGACAGAAAGAAGAAAACAAAAATGCACTTCCGGTCTTATTTTAGATCAATTTATGGTTTTCGATGTAATTTCCAATTGAAATTGGTCTACGAAAAGATCTATACAAATTTTATCCATTATCTGTCTTTCAGTTAAACGCACACTTAAGACTACTTTGGATAGCTTTGATTGAAAAGAAAAGAAAAAAAAATGCACTTCCGTATAATTTCAAACCACTTTACGTTTTTTTTTTTCCAGAGCTTTGAACCAAAATTGATCTGATCAAAAAACAATCCTGTTACCTAGAATATTGGCATTATTCAGAAACTGCAAAAGTCAATCTCTAAGACATTTATCAAAATAAACACCCCAAATTTATTCATTACAGTAATTTATTGATTACATGTTCATTGCCCAGCTTATAGAAAGGACTAACGACTGTATTAATGTTTTGGGGGCACCATTCGAAAATTACAAAATCTTTTTCGTTCTTGCTCCCTGATTTTTTTTTTTGCCGTCTTACTCATTTTTGGCGGAGGACAGCGGATTATCGGGTTCGATAGCACATACGCTTCTGGATTGTAGAAACTCACCGCAGGTCCTTCATCCCAAGAATGGTCGACGGTAGAGTATTTTTTCTGTTCGAAAATGTTTATAAGTATACATATACTATGGTCTACTGATTTACTTACTTGATCTGTGAAATAGGAACCCCCCACAGGTTCTACACCCCAAGAATCGTTGTTGACGTTAGGTTCTTTTTTCTGTTTGAAAATGTTTATAAGTATACATCTACTATGGTCCACAAATTTACTTACTTGATCGGATGACACCTCATCAACCTGTCTACCCCAGCCGGCACAGCTTTGGTTAATTGATTTTAGGTCCATTTCCAAAACAAGAAAATAAGCTATTTTTGCTAACAGTAATTAAAAAAAAACAAAAACAAAAGAAAAATGTAAATAATTTTTTTTTTTGAGAACTCTTACATTATTACTAATCAAAAATTAATTACTTACTTGAAATGTAGATGACACTTAGTATAGCACTTGTTGTTATAAGGAAAAGTAAGACTGACACTATGCATTTATCCGCAAAATTCCTCATTTTATTGGATTTCTTATCTCATTATTATTTTATGGGTTTTGTTAGTTATTATTGAAAAATACTATATACTATTTGGTAAAGCTTTCCATAAATTTTTGTTAACGAAGCAGAAGTTCACTTTTGCTAATATTCTAACGTATAGTCTGGCAAGTGGTAACTTGGTAGAGACGAAAGGGGGAAGAAAAGTGGGGCGTGACCTAAAAATATTCACTGACACCTCAACTGACACCACCTGATGACAGCCATGTCTTTCGGTTCAGTGGCACCGGAAACACCAATAAAATTATTAGAAAAAAAAATTCTTTAGTTTCGTTAATAACCACGCCACTGCCTGCTGTCGTTCAGACTCTAACCAATAGAATCATACCTTTGAATAATCACGCCTCTCCACATCTATCATTTTGCAATGTTGCCGGATTTTTTTCTATTTCAAAATACTACACATGCCCATATAGCAAAAAAAAAAAATGTCACCAACTTGTTTATCATTATTTCCGTCAAGTTTGGCAAATTAGCAAATTCTTTTGCAGTTGGCCGTTTCGCTAGCCAGACTATACGTAACGTACGTAACGATTTCCTATTATTATTGCAGCAAAATAACTTCACTACAATGTATAATTTCTGCACAAGTCAACCATTTTTTGTTCATTAATTTAAGATTCGCATAGGAACGCAACAAAGTTATAGCTGTTAAAATGTATCATTTTACTAAGTGAAGGATTCATTTGTTATCATGATAACTTTGAATTTTGGAATATTTCGTTTCTATCATTACGCAAAATAACTTTAATACAATGTATAATTTCTGCACAAGTCTACTATATTTTCTGTATCTGTATAAATTTAAGATTCGCATAGAAACACAACAAAGTTACGGGTAAAATGTATCATTATGCAAAGTAAGGAATACATTTGTTATCAATAACTTTAATTAATTCAATTAATTTCGTTTCTATTATCGCATGCAAAATAAATTTAATACAATATATAATTTCTACACAACTCGAGCTGAAATCTGACGAAATATTCGAAGGTACTCCTGGGAAGAAATCTTTCACACATCCTCTAATGTGCTTATATTCTACAATTATTATCATATAATAATACATTGTGACGATAGATAAAAGTTGTTGTTTAAGAAAAGATTCCAGAAACTTTTTTGTAAATTCAACAATAGTTTAGTTGTTCAATTTGCAATCATTATTCGTCGATTTTTTTAAATTGATGCGAGTATTATAAATTAGAAACACAGCCTCGTTTAATTATTTGAAAAACAGTTAATTAACTAATAATATACTTACATTATTTATTCAAAATGAATTTAAATTTAGTAAAAGACGCTTATAGTATCCTTATTGAAAAAAATATAAACCATCATAGAGAAAACAACCAGTGGTCAAAGGCTCTGAAAGTTTGTCCAGAAGAAATACAGTTCATGGAAAAACACATCAATGTGCCATATTGCATTGCAGGTGGATTCAGTTCTTTTATTTGTAGTTACACTGATGCATTTGGCGATATAGACGTTTTAGTGTGCGCTGACTCACCTGATGAAACACTTAAAAAAATTCTACCACAAAAAAATCGGAATGAAAACTATGGTGATGGTAGCAAATTGAAGTCAATTTACGACTATACAAATTTTCGTTGGAAAATCCAATTTTTATTTATTGGAAAGCCAACTGTAAGTAATGAAGTGGCGTATATAAACCATTTGTGTGGCTACATATTTACATTTGATTTGGCCATTTGCATGACTGCAATTTCACCAAATGGATATTTGTTAGACTTCACACATTTAAAATTCAATGATCGTGGTATTAGATCAGAAAGAGTTGAGAAGTATCAAAAAAGAACAATAAAAATGGGTAAAGTGCAAAGCCTACAAGAGCAAGTAATAATTCATCAATGGGCTCTTTCACTAATTTTTGAAATTGGCATATTTGGATAAAGCAACTAAAAACAGAATTTTCTGTATTTTTACTTTTGAAAAATTCAAAGTCCTTCTTGAGAAAAGAGAAAACAAAGAAATACCTCCAAATAAAAACCCAGAATTTATTTCTATGACGTCGCAGCTCGCAATTTGACCGTGTTGCCACTAATTGTCAACATTGAAAATTTGTAATAGATTTAATTCTGAAATGTTGGCAAAATCTCATGAAAAGTAGTTAAATTAATTAGTTATAGATTCAAGATTTTATAACATTTTTTTTTTAAATTATGCTTAAATACAATTTAATGCAATTTTTTATGTTTAGTTTTATTTATTTATTTTACGCTGCACTACATTTAGTCACAACCGACAACAGCGCATTCGAACCTTTACGTATCTTTACAGAGCGCAAACACAGCCGAGCCCTTCCTCCTTGCAACGACATAAGCGAAATGAAGAATATTTATGTGACGTCGGCAAATCGGCGCGTTTTAAAATAGTTTGAATTTAGGCACTTTTGATTGCCTATGAAAAACTTATTGAACCTTGTAGAACATTTTTTTTTTGGTATATATGCGTAAAATAGTCCCTCCTTTGAGATTTTATACTTAAATTACGTATTTAAATTTTAGTGAAAGAGCCCATTGACATGATTTGTTCTGGAAAATGGACCCAGGAAATTGCGTTATGAGTTTGGAGAATTTTATGGATTTCTACTATCTGCTCTGGTTGCAAAAATATGGCGTTATAAACATAATTTGTAATCAGTGTTACAAAGTAACGTTATTATCCTATACTGTTCATAAATTTTGTTATCCTAAAAAGTCTATAGTCAGCATATCCAATCATTTTTTGGTTCTATGATCATTGATACTAGTTTTATATAAATTGACACCAACCATTCCGTATAATCAGTCCACAAAGAATTAACAGCAGTAAATAACCTATTAGTAACACCAGTAAAACAATGATCAATACAATCAACCAAAACCAAATGATATTCGTTGCCAAACTAGCCTCTGATCTAAATCAGATGGAGTTTGATATTTTACGATTTTGCAATCGGAGTCTAATGGGTGTCAATAACTCAAAACACCTGGAAAATGCAGAGAACTTTTCGAATGGAGCTTTTGTCTGCAGAAAGTTTCTAGCAGGAAGCATCGATTCAGACACATTTGTCAAAGAGATGCTTGCTGAGGATCTTTATGATTTTGTAGTTAAAGTGCCCAATATCTCCATTGAAAGAATCGAAAATATGATACAAGACTATGAAGACAGCATCACTGGCGAAGAGGCAACTTCTTATACATCAGGGTTTTAACGTGATTTTGTCACTTTTCATATATTGTGAGTAGCTTTTTTTTGTTTTTTACAATTATAATAATTTGATTTGGTACCTACACCTAATTTTTATGATTAGTCTGTGTCGAGGTTTGTGTAGTATTTAGTCTGTCGTAATGGGTTCTAATTTTTTTATGTAATTTATGTTTTTTTTTTTTCCATATGTTTCTATGCATTGCTTGTTTTTATAATTTGACTGAAGTTTTATTTTTGTGTTTTTTTTTATATTAATGGTGATTGTTCTTACCTACCGCTAAAACACCAAAAATTTACAGTCAACTATAACATAGTAATATTAATATTAGATACCCAATACTGTTTACTATGATATTTTATTTGATGTACAGTTGCGATAAAAAAAGTAGTACAAGAAAAATCTCCAAAATCTCCTGGTCTATTATACATTAATTTAATTCATAACCATAATGACATATTTCTGGCATTTTTAACCTAGAAAGCTTCAGATGACATTATTTTGACATTTTTCCACCCGTTTTTAACCTAGAAAATGTCATTGCCTGTCAAAATTTTGTATGTTACACCGGGAGCTCAAATTGGGGATAATAATTTTTGTACTACTTTTTTTTTATCGCAACTGTACCTACCTACCTTGTTTTTAATGTCTAGGTTTCTAACTATACCAAGCCTTTTTTTTATAATAGATTTATTTACCCATGCACTTATTTAGGACTTAGAATCAAGATTGTATAGCTTTGTCAATAAGTTATTGTGACTTGGACTTCAATTGAACAACTAGAAAAAGTATGGAATCTTTGGTTTGCTTATCTGCACAATTTCGCCAACTTTGTATTTTCAACTTTTTTGGAGTAATTTTTGACAAGTTGAATATAGACAATTTCGTCTGTGGATTAACTTGAACTGGTCTCATTCCAATTGATCTATGCCCATATTACCCAATAGACTTTGTATGGCCTGCGAATTTTTAAAATTCATTGGAGAGAAAAGGATACCGAAGTGATTTGCATAATTTGAGTCTGTTTTCTTTTTATTGAAACTATTGTAATGTTCTTTAATTCTAGTACCAAAATTTCTACCTGTTTGTCCTATATATACTTTTGGACAATCTTTACAAGATAATTATAAACTCCAGATTTATCACATATTTTAGTTTTAGATTTATTATTTTTTAAATGAAAGCCTATTGTATTGTTAGTTTTGAAAGCAACATTTATATCGTTTTTGTTAAGAAATTTGCTAATTTTATTACTAGCTTGTCCTTGGAAAGTAATAGTTTGAAATTATTATTTTGTAATTTTTTAGGGTATACTAAATTAATGGCATTTTTGTATAGTTTTTTGTCTAAAATATCATCTATTAATTTTGAAGAATAGCCATTATTGATAGCAATTTGTTTAATTGAGTTTAATTCTTTTTGACAAGAATGTATTGTGTATAACTGTATCAGTACCTATGAGTAGGTTTATGAAATATAGAAAATTCATGTTTTTCATTTATGTTTTTGATTGTTAAATCTGGGAAATTTATTGAATTATTTAGTTCTTTTTCTATGGTAAATTTTATGTTAGGGTGGATTTTATTAATAAAGTCTATAAAAATATATAATTGTCTGTCTGTTCCAGTAAAACAAGTTAGAATATCGTCAACATATCCATGCCAGTAGAGAATTTTTTTTTAAAATTGGATGTTTGTTAATTTTTTTGATTCAATAGAATCCATGAAT